TGCATCTCAGAGATTTTGGACCATTGTGTCTTTATTTTCATTTGATTCCATGCAATTTATTTCTTTGATTTCTTGGTTGACCCATTCACTGTTTAGTAGCATGTTATTTAACCTCCTTGTATTTGTGTTCTTTCTAGTTTTTTTTTCTTGTGGTTAATTTCAAGTTTCATAGTGTTGTAGTCATACAAGATGAATGGTATGGCCTTGGTCTTTTTTAATTTGTTGAGACTTGTTTTGTGTCCTAATATGTGATCTATTCTCAAGAATGTTCCACATGCACTTGAATAGTATGTGTATTCTGTTTTAGAGTAGAATGTTCTAAATATATTTTAAATCCATCTGTTGCATTGTGTCATTCAAAGCTATTGTTTCCTTGTTGATTTTCTGTTTGGATGATGTGAGCATCAGTGTAAGTGGAATGTTAAAGTCTACTACTATTGGATTGATATCAATTAGTTCCTTTGTTATTAACTTTTATGTATTCGGGTGCACAAATATTTACGATTATTATTTCTTCTTGTTGGGTTGTCCCCTTTATTATTATATATGTCCTTCTTTGTCTCTTGTTCCGGTCTGGTTTTTTAATTTTTTTTAAAAGATTTTATTTATTCATGAGAGACACAAAGAGGCAGAGACACAGGTAGAAGGAGAAGCAGGCTCTCTGTGGGGAACCTGATGTGAGAATTGATCCCAGGACCCCAGGATCATGCCCTGAGTTGAAGACAGATGCTAAACCACTGAGCCACCCGGGGAATCTCTAGTCTTTGTTTTAAAATCTATTTTTTTCCAATGAAACAATTGCTACTCTGGCTTTTTCTTTTTGACATCTATTTGCATAATGTTTCTCCATCCTCTCACTTTCAATCTGCATGTGTCTTTAGGTCTGAAATGAGTCTCTTGTAGGTAGCATAGAAATGGGTCTTATTTTTTTATGCACTCTGTTAGCCTATGCCTTTTGATTGGCGAGTTTGGTCCAGTTAATTCAAAGTAATTATTGATATGTATTGCTGTTTCATTACTTGTTTTGTGTTTGTTCTTGTAGCTATTTTCTGATCTTTCACTTTCTCTGTTGTTTGCTGGTTTTCTTTAGTGATATACTTGGATTCTTTGCAGATCTTTTACTGGTTTGCTTTGATTCGTGGTTAACATTAAGTTTGTATTACAACTTCTGCAAATAGCAATCTATATGAAGTTGATGGGCTCTTATGTTGAACCCATTCTTTACTCTTCCTATCCCCCTCCCACCATGTGTTAGGTATATGATGTCATATTTTACATCCTTTCATAAATCCCTAGACTGTTTTTTACAGAAATATTTACTTTTACTTATTTTATGTTTCCTACTTTTCATACTCTCACTTATGATCTTTCTTTTCCACTCAGAGTTCTCTTTAGAAGTTCTTATAGGGCTGGTTTAGTGGTCATGAACTCTTAGTTTTTGTTTAAGAAGCTCTTTATCTTTCCTCCTATTCTGAATGATAGCTTTGCAAAATAGAGTATTCTTGGCTGCAGATTTTTCCCTTTCAGTGCTTTGAATATATCATAACACTCCCTCCCTTCTGGCCTGAAAACTTTTTCCTAGCCTTATGGGGTTCCCTGGTATGTAACTCCCTTTTCTCATTGCTTTTAACATTCTTTATCACTACTTTTTTGCTATTTTAATTACTGTGTGTCTTGATGCGTGGACCTCCTTGGGTTGATGTTTTTTGTGGGGATCTCTGTACTCCTTGATTGGATATATTTCCTCCCCCAGATTAGGGAAGTTTTCACCTCTTATTTCTTCAAATATATTTTCTGCTTTTTCCTTTCTTCTGGGATCCCTGTATTGTGAACATTATTATACTTGATGGATTCCCTGAGTTCCCCAAATCTGTTCTTATTTTGCATAGTTGTTTTTTCTCACTTGTTCAGCCTAATTACTTTCCATAACTCTGTCTTCTAGGTCATTAATTTGTTCCTCTGCTTCCTCTAGTCTCTTATTCTACAAACATATTTTTAATTGCAATTATTGGATTCTTCATCTCTGATAGGTTCTTTTTTGTTCTGTGTAAGGGTTTCACTGATGTCCTCCACTCTTGTCTAGTATCTTCATAATCATTACTTTAAATTACCTATCAGGTTTATTATCTCTATTTCACTTATTTCTCTTGCTATGATTTTGCCCTGCTCTTTGATTTGGGACACATTCCTCTGTCTCCTCATTTTGCCTAACTCTGTGTGTTTTCTGGGTGTTGTGAAAGTCAGCTATGTCTGTTGCTCTTGAAAGCAATGAAACCACACTTTAAATAATAAGGCCATGTTGGTCCTCTTCACAGGGGACTTGCCACTGCCTATAAGATCAGGCCTACCAGGGTTGCTTCATAAAGTGCATGCAGGTGGGGGCAGGGTGCTGCAAGCTATTCCTGTGGGTCCTTTTCCACCAGGATCTTGCAGCCTCTGTGGAGACTGGAGGCCAGCTGGGGCAGCTCTGGGAAGTATGGCAAGTGAAGTCTTGGTGCCACAAGCTATAGGTACCATTCCTTCTCCACAGGGGACACTGTGGAGAGTGGGGTTGCCCATGGCAGCTCCATGAAGTGCATTTGGGTAGGGGTATAGTTTTAACAAGGTGCATGCCTCTTTTGAGGGAGGTAGGAGATGCAGTGTTGGCAGGGTTTGGGTGGATCTTACAGGGAGGGAATCCACAGCACTGGGAGAAGGGTTGGCCCAGCTGGAGGGAGCTGGGCATGGGATAAGCAAGTTTGGTAGTGAGTGCTAGCTGTTTCCTGCAGTTGGCTTGGTGATTATGCTGGAGGTAGGGGAGGGAAATGGTGCCTGCCAGCTCCTTTGTTTCTGGAGAAGTCCCTCAAGGAACTCTGAGATTAGTAACTAACTTTCCTTCTTGTATACCCCAGGCATTTTCAAACTGCTGCTTCTAAACTGTATCTCCTCAGGCTGTTCGTTCTTCTATCTCTTTAAGGGCAAGGACTCAGCTTCCTGTTGGCCCTCCAGTCTTTCCTGGAGCAGCCTGCTGATTTTTAAATTCAACTGGTTGTATGAAAATCAGCTGCTCTGATTTTCAAAGCTGAATGTTATGGGGATTAGTCTTCCCCATGCAGCTTCCCTGGTGTGATTGTTTCTTGTGGCTCTCCTGTGCTTAAAGCTCCCTCTCTTCTCTATCCAGACCCTCTGTGTTTAGCTCTCCACCATGTGTGTGCCCTTCTCACCCTCTTTAATGTGACCTCTTTTTCACATTCAGTTGTGGAGCTTGTTATGCTAGTCTTCAGGTCCTTTTTCAGGTTATTTGCAGTAATGTGAGGGTTATATAGTAGTATATGTGGGTGGACATGAACTTAGGGTCCTGCTATTCCACTATCTTCCCTGGAAGTCTTGCCCTACTAAATTTTTAATTCACCTGGTGTATGAATTCAACTGTCAGTGAATGAATTACATATCTGTGTTAGAAATCATCTTCTTATGACTTATTAAAGAAGGGTACCAATGGGGAATACACAGCATAGTTATTAGGAGTATGGATATAGAGTTACATAGGCTTTCAGATTAGCTCCATTGTTCAGGGGAGAATGACTGGGCAAATTACTTAGTCTCTATGAGACTCAGTTCTTTTTGTATAGGGAGAATGCAAATAATAGCTTATGGTGGTGGAATTTGCCCTTGAATAAAGCTCAAGGTCTCATTTCCTGTGGGTAGAATGGGAATATTTATTGACTGCCTATTGTATATGATGGTGACTGTTGGGATACAGAAAGGAAAGCTACCACCTCTGGTCAAACCTCATACCTGGTGTGGTAGGTAACAGTAGAAGATAAAGGGGATGTTAAATATTAAGTTGGGAGTATGTATAAGCTGCTGAGCTGCAGAAGGCAGGATGGGGTGGGGGGGGAATGTGGAGAGTTGTCAAGGGAGGCTTTAGGGGAGCTATGACATTAGCCACTAGCTGGAACTCAAAGGGTATGTATAAATTGGAAGAGTACTCTGGGTAGAAGAAATAAAATATACAAAGATGAAGAAATATGAGAAGATACTCTCATTTAGGGGATTCCAGGGTAGTGAGTATGATGGGAGCCAGGGGTATAGGACTGTGAACATTAAGGGTTAAACTGAAGGGTATAGCAGAGTTGCTAGATCCAAAAGGGTTGGGTGTGCCTTGTTAAGAGTTGACTTTATCTGGAAGACAGAGGAAAGCTGCCTAATCCAGTTTGGCCTTTAAGGAGATTACCTAAGCAATGGAGTAAAGCATGGATTTGAGTGGAAGCTGGTGAAACCAAAAATCCTGAGGTTATGGTTTCAGTAATTCAGGCTCATGCTAAGGTGGATGCAAAAGAGAAAGCAGTCTACCAAGATTTAGGAAGGAAAGGAAGCACCTAGAAATAGCTTTTATTATGTATGTTGGGTACCTGGGTATGTTGTGGTAAATATGGGAAGGCAGAGATGCCTAAAGGATGCTAAATGGAAAGGTAAAGAAAGCTGGGAAATGCAGGAAGTGCTAACTTGGACACGTGGACTTCAGATATAATAGGGTTAGGTGGCAATTGAACAGTGGACAAGATCACCAAGGGAGAGCAATGTAGCAAGGAAAGACCTGGGTCAAGTTTAGGACCCTTGAGACCACTAACATTGAGACAAGATCCAGAGGAGAAATAACCAGGCAGGTAGAAACAAAACCAGGAAAGTGCTCTGTTGGAGAAGTCAGAGGAAGACCCTGCCAACAGAATCCTATGCCTCAGGAGGGGCTACAGGGAATAGGATGAAAGCTGTAGCTTGACTTTAGTTCGTGGCACTGGTCATCTTGGGAGTAGTTCCGTGGATGGGCACAAAAGACAGATCTTGGTGGATTGAAAAGAGAACTATGAAGAGGTTTAATTCCTTCATACTAAAAATGACATTTAAACCTCCATCTGGCATATCTGCATAGACAGAAATTGTTGTTTTGATGTAGTGCCAAGAGGAAATGGTAGGAGGAAGGTATGATCTGGATTAAAATCTTAACTATTTTTTCACAGGGTTCTGCTTCAAAAACTGCAGCCACATCAGGTAGGAACATATCCAAGCCTGACTCCTCCAATTTAAGGAAAACATCTGGTTCAAAAGCCAAAGCGGGGCCTTCTGTTTCCTGTTTGAGGCGGAATAGTGACAGTAGAAATCTCAATTCTGATCGGGCCTTATCTCCACAGAGGATCAGGCGTGTGTCCAGTTCTGGTAAGAATAAAATAAATCAGTTGTGCCTTATAGCAGTTTATGAATTATTTGAATGTAGGAATAGGCATGTCAAAGAGCAGAAAGAGAGGTTTTGGTTATAAAACTAACACATTCTGTCCACTACAACATTTAGGCTTTTGCTGACCAGCATCTTACACAGGGAAGGTAGAAAAAGAAGTTATAGACATAGCTCTGATCTTTGAGTGATGTAAAGGCTAGTTCAGTGAAAGATATAGGTGTATAAACCAACTTATAATACTAAGAAAAATTATAAGCAAATAATTGGGTCCCTCTTACATACAAATAATTTCAAAATTAGAAAAGTTTTTTTTTGGTAAATGTTTACGTGCTTAATAATACTTAAGTGTTATATCCTGGACTCATGGTGGTGGAAAGAGATTAGTTTTTCCTTAACTTTTACTGAAAGATGTATTTTAAATTTGCAGGGATGTAAGAGTGACTAAGAAGTTAAACTTCGCTAAGATGAACATTTATTTATGTTTATATTTTAGAAGCAGTAATTTCAAATTCCTGCTAGGTTTATGAAGTTGGAGCACTTTAAGAGTAGCTGTTAAGTGTCTTATTAAAATTTGGCAGATGGACAGACTTCTCTGGGTTGCAGATCAGAACAGGAAATGGAAAAGTCAGCCTATGTTGTAGAGACTAAGACAAAAACACTGCTAGCCATTCCAGTTGATTGAGAACACTCTGCAGGGAACAACCTTTATTTTAACAGGTACAACCTTGAGCAAATTAAAGGCAAGCCTGATGGATTTAGAAGTAAGTTCCCTTATAAAAATAGAAACTACTGTTGAATGATGTGGGGGGGGAAGAAAAAGTGCCTCTAGACTGATGTGTCAACACACATGAGAACATTTTGCAGAAACTAACAAAACCAAGCAGATCCCAGAGGATCTCCATACTACTCTACACCTTGATAGTTTTAGGTTTTCTTTTCTAATTCTGTTTTGAGAACTCCTGTTTGAGAAGCCTATAATGAGCAGAAGTAATTTAAGGGTGATTTATTTAGATTCAGGCCTAGCATTAAGATCTTGAGTTTCTGAGGAGCAAAGCCAGGAAGCAGTACGGGGGGAGGAGGAAGGATCTGCAGCACATTTCTATTCCCATCCCTGGAGGAGCTGAATAGGAAGAAAGAATTCACTTGAAGTCGTCTTCATTGGGGAGAAAAACAGAAGAGAAATAATGATCCTGATTATAGATATGCCACCGTTAGGGAGATCAAAGCTTTGGTTCTTATCATTGATGATAGGTAAGCGTAGTGGTGGTTGCCCGATGATGGGGAATTCTCTTCCTGTTTGGATATTAGGAACACCTATGGCTTGGTGGCGCTGCAGAGTCATGGCCGATCACTCCATGGCCTGTAGTTTAGGAGCCCTATATTCTAGTACTACTCCAGCACCAGTGAGCTGCACAAGCAAGTTGTTTATTCACCCTAGGCTTCAGCCTTGCATAGTGAAATACGAGGATTTGAGCATGTAAGGACCTGTCAGCTTTCACAGTCCTTATCTTTCTGGGGGAAGTTTGAGGACTTGCCAAATTTTCTGAGCAGTGGCTACAACTAGTATGATTCTCTAGGCCACAGGATGCTCAAAACTCAGAAAACTGGAAGCACACATACTTTCAGGAGACTAGGCCAGTACCCAGGATAGGATAGACAGTGGTCCCCAGCCATCTGGGGTTCTGCTTTCAATGATTTCAGTTAGCCATAGTCACGCAGGGCACAGAGGCAGGTGACCCTCCTTCTAACGTGTTGTTACAAAGTCAGGAGTAGCCTAACACTGAATCGTAATGCCTAGATCATTCACCTCAATCCAGCTCCTCATGAAGGCATTTTATCAGCTCACCCCTTCACAGGAAGAAGGCTGAAGAGAGAGAGAGAGAGAGAGAGAGAGAGAGAGAGAGAGACCACATTCACATAACTCTTATTATAGTATATTGTTATAATTCTTTTTTTATTCTTTCTGTGTCTCATTTGTAAATTAAACTTTATCACAGGTAGGTATGTATAGGAAAAAAACAGTACACATAGGGCTTGGTACTATCTGTGGTTTCAGCCATCCATTGGTGGTCTTGAAACCTATCCCCTGTGGATGGGAAGATGGGGAGAAGGAAGGCCAACTATATTTTCAAAACTGGGATTCATTTATGTAGGTGATCTGTTCTACCAAAAAGTTAAGCATTTTAAAAGTCCCTTTTCTGTATATTATATAATATCATGCCTTAAGAGAAAGTAGGTCTGTTTACTCTTATGAAAAGACAAGGACATTTATTGAGCTTTGATTAACCTGTATAAAGAAACTTGATAACTAAGTTATGTATTCAAAGTTTTCAATCTGAGTTAAAAACTAAGTTTTCTTTTACTTGGTGGTTTTCTGTGTAGAAATGGAAAAAAAATCCAGAAACTTCATGGATTTGCATTTGAGTTTTTATGTGAACTGTTTGAAGACTAACTTGATTATGCTGTATTAAAAAAAAAAACAGCAACTAGCTTGTGTGGATGCTCACAATAAATTGAGAGGTGTTTGTCGTGGGGGACAGGAAATTTAATCACCACAGAGTTAAAAGTAGAGCAGAAGATCAAGGAGCAAAAACAATGTGCCTTTAGATCATTGAGAGTGTGTTGCCATTTACTGTACAATGTGGTGTTTGTGTATTAGAAAATTGAAACCAAATGGACATCCTCTGTATTCTGTATACAAAGTTACTCTCCTGAAAGGTAAGCAGCAGGAATGTTCCAGCTGACTGGGGTTTTCAATAAATCCTTTCAGAGAACTAAGTAGAAAACCAGATCTGGAATTGAAATAGCCATTTTCTTGAAGCTTTCAACTGAGCAGGAGAAAGAATTATAATTAAACCCAATGGAGCTTTTCCATTTTACTTGTATCTGGAAATGGTGATGTGTACAGCATGATGACCATAGCTAATGCTGCTGTATGATATGTATGAAAAATAAGAAAGTAAATCCTCATCATAAGGGAAAAAATTTTTTTTTGCTTTTTATTGTGTCTGTGTGAGATGGTGGATGCTAATTAAACTTATCGAGGTCACCAATGCACAGTACGTTAAGTCAAGCCATTATGCTCTACTCCTTCAACTTACACAGTGATGTGTGCCAACTAGATCTCAATAAAACTGGAAAAATAATTTTAAAAATCAGGAAATTTGTATGAAACCAGATTATGACCAGTAACAGACCAAATTCCAAGTATCTTTGTTTAGAATATGGATGTGTTTTAACCACTCCAATTAAATAAGATGAGGTAGTGAGGAAAACTAGGATAATAATAATTATAATGCCAGTGAGATAACACACTTACAAAATGCTTATCAAGTTTTAGGCTCTGTCCTAATCATTTCATTTATAGATGTGTTTATCCTCACAGTAGTTTTGTGAGGCTTATTCTCATTTACAGATTGAGGAAAACATCACACAGAAATTGAATAACTTGTCAAGGTTGTGCAGCTAGCAAGTAGCAGAGGTAGGATTCAAACCATGCAGTAGAACTCTGGAGCCCATTCTCCTAAACTTCACATTATCGGTCTAAAGAACTACTCTTGAGGCACCTGTATTGGTCAATTGGTTAAGTGTCTGCCTGCGGCTTAGGTCATGATCTTGGGGTTCTCGGATCGAGCCCTGCATTGGGCTCCCTGCTCAGTGTGTAGTCTGCTTCTCCCTCTGCCCCTCCCCTGTGCCTGTACTCTCTCAAATAAATAAAATCTTAAAAAAAAAAATGCAACCTACTGTAGTAGGACTCTGAGTTTTGAAAGATTAAAATTCTCACACTCAGCTGAGTGCTTTAGAAATTGGCATTTCTCTTTTCAGGGCCTTGGCTTAAAGCTCTGTCATTTTACCATAATTTAAAAGATGTTACATGGTTATTGCAAATTAATGCTGCTAAGGAAATCACCGCACAGTTAAATACTTCATGATTCATCCAGGCATTTTCAGGCCTACCTGCCACCCTCTTGTGAAGGCGGTACCAGTTCTTATCAGGTTTTAGATTATGAATGTGTGTGTTCCTTCAGACACACCTGTAATTGTAATTACCAGCCTGGGCAAGGTAGGATTACGGAAGTGAGACAAAATATACTCCCTGCCCCGTGGATCCTATAACCTACCTGGGGGGGGGGGTAAGTGCATGCTTATGATGCAACCACAGAGCAGCATAAAAAGGGTGTATTAAGGGTGTGGGAAAAAGCCCCTAAGTACTTTAGGACTTTGGGCAAAAGAAGAATGTTCAGGGGTTGGTCTGATTATACCAGAGCCTGAAGAAAGGCCTCATGAAAGAAACAGTCTTTAGTTTTTCTCCTGGAGAAAGAAAAATAACTTTTTAAAAGGATAAACCTTTGTTGTAATTCAGTTTATTGTGGGTTAATAAAATAGATTCTTCTCAAACCAGGAGTACATCCCAAACTTGTAATGACTTGCCTAGCATCATAGGTTTCTGAGCTTTCTTGCTATGTTGTTTTTTGCATAGTTGTGTTTTGCGAACCAATTTTGTCTCTTTAGTGTTAAAAGGGAATTTAAAATTATTTCAATTTTATATCATTTTATGGTGAGGTGAGAGTTTGAGAGAAATAGCTAGCAAAATTATGAGGGGGATACTCACTATAAATTCATAATAACCAGAAATTATCACCTAATAACTTATTCTAAAAACTAATGTGTTAGTTTGGATGTTTCTGTGTTTGCATGTAATTAAAACCCCTTGTAAAAAATATATCCCAAATTTTCTTGGTATAAAAATAATAGTAGTAGTAATGTTTTTGAGGGCCAGTGATGTGCCATGCTCTGTTCTAAGCTTTCTAAAGCCTCACTTCATTTACTCTCACAATTCATGAGGTATAGACAGTATGCTTATCCCTCTTCTGCAGATGAGGAATTTGAAGTTTTGAAATCTTAGTAACTTACACAAAGTTACACAGTTAATAATTGGTGGAGACAGGAAACAGAACAAGCAGTCTGGTGCTGGGGTTGG